TCTTGCAGCATTCGGTAACATCAGGCATTTGAGTTTCAGTTACTTTTTCCTCTGTTACGCCTGTGCTCCATCAGGATGTTGGAAAGTAAGCTGAGATGCAGTGTTCTGCTTCTATTGCATCTTTGTACTGACCATCCCACTTGTGTACATGCAACTGTTTCTTTTCCACAAAATTTAAGAGGATGGGGGAAGGAGCATTCAGTTTTTGTCTCAGTTAATACCATATCACAGCCTTTTTGCACCTCACAGTATGATCCCAAAGGGAACAAAGGACTGGGGTATGTCCTGTTGTTTTCAGCAGTACATCATTCTAGTACATTGGCAGTTCCAGTTAGCTCTATGATGATTCTATAGCATTTGTGCTTATCAATATAAAATGACCAGAAATTACTATTTTTCAAGGCAACACTTCTACCCTCCTTCACATCTACCTCCTTTCTGTGCACTGACTGTAGCAGATCCAAAATCTGTTGATTCTCTTGCAGAAAATCTCCTATACTAACTTGGTTAGTCTGCTTCTTACTCTCTGTGTGAACATGCAAAGATTGGAAGCTAAAGAAGGGCTGATGAGAGTTTCAACAGACCTGGAGGTGAAAAGACTGATGATTCATCTTTGCCCAGTACTCCATTTAACAGACAAGCCTCTTAAGAGTGGCACAAAGAAGATGCTTCCAAGTGAAGTTTCAGCTGAAAGTAACAAAAGGAAAAGTGGAACTGACTAAATGATGTAGGAGATACCTCAACAGAGAGATGGCCGTGTTAAGGACAAAGTACAAATTAAGGATACGCTGTTCGGGTTTTTTTTGGAATGCATGAGAAGTAATATAAATGGCTTTATTGCTGGTGACAATGTTGCTGATAATGCGAAAACAATTATATTTTCTGTATTCAGAGATAAAATGTACTTGCATCACATGAGAATGTTGAAATTACTTTCTAGTCCCTTTTCAAGCCAAAAGAAAGCTAAGCAAACACTGACCAGCTATAAATATTTTGAAATCAACAGATCTGAGCCTTTTACAGTAAGAAAATGTAAAAGAAAACCCCGAGTAACGCTGTTGCTAGTAGTTTCAACAAACCTTTACGTTCTCAGAAAAGTCTGGAAGACAAACTAAGTAATTTTATTTCCATACAAAATGGATAGTGATTGCATTATTTGTAGTCAGATCGTAGACGATTCCAACATAAAAATTATTGTAAAAGTTGCAAAATAATTAACAGTAAATTGAATGGAAACTGAAAATAAGAAGTAATCAATGTGGTTTTTTTGGAAAATAAACCTGACTTTTATTCCTGGATATTCTTTTACTCCCCAGAGTTGAAGTTCTGCCATGCAGACCAAAGACAGAAGCATCAAAATCTTTCAAGACGAACTGACCACTCCTGACAAATAAGCTTTGACAGGAAAGCATTATCAGAGAGTTGTGGTCAGTAATGTTACAAAGGGCGAAACGCTATTAAAAGCTTTTCCTGTTGGTTTGGAATTAAATCTTAACTCAAGGCTGACCAGGTTTGCAGAAGACAACATCTTGCAAGATGATAAACTGTGATAACATCATCAGTCACACAGACAAATCTGCATTACTGTGGTGGAACGGCACCACAGCATAATTCAACAAAGACAAATACCATCATATCTAGAGACACAGATCACATCCCAGGAATGAGAAGTTAGCGAACACGAGCACTCAGTATACGAAGTCAGGAAGATTTTACCTCTATTTACCTTCACTATAATGACCTTCCATATCCCATCCCATTGCCCATATTTTAAGGAGGAGTCTGGAAAATAGAAGAAGGTGGAAAAAAGAAGCACAGAATTTGAATAACACATGCTTTAGCGAGAGTTCACGCTCTCAATTTGTTTGACTCATCCAAAAGGAAGCGGGGAAGTGATTTGATTACCATGTCTAAGTGCCTCCAAGAGGGGGAACTGCAGGATATTAAGGAGCTGTTTAACCCAGGAGAGAGAAACATAAAAAGAATCAATGGCTGGAAGCCACTGTCAGAGAAATTCAAATGAGAAGTGAGCCACATTCATGACCCTGCGAGGGATGAAACCTTGCAACAAACTGGCAAAGGAAAGCAGTTTGACTCTTCATGCCTTGAAACCAAGACTGGGTGTTTTTCTGAAAGGTGTGATTTAGCTGAACACAAGTTATGTTTCAGTCAAACAGATTACTGGGTTCAGTGCAGAGGTAACGGTAAAATTTAATGGCTTGTGATACGAGAGATCAGACTCAATGAATTAATACACACCCCCAGGCTATGCTCTACTAATCGATGTATCAGTGGTTTATGCTGCCATCCACCACTACAGCATCTGAGCATTTTCATATTAAATCAATAGTGATAGCGAAATCCCTGGTTGGACTTCAGGACGCTTATGGAACTTTAAGAAACAAAATTAAACAAGTATTTTTGAGGTTTTCTAGAGGAGGTCAGAAGTTCTGTACTTCCCCTTCTCATTACAGGCTGCATGTTGCTGCATTTCCTTTGTGCTTACATAAATTTTCAAAGTAGCGTTCTCAGTGTTTGTCAGAAACGGTCCTGCCAAATGCTTCTACATAGAAGATGTAGTTATGTTTGTGTCCTCAAATGCTCACAAACGTGCAGTGAAAAAACTTCAAATGATGTTTAGAATAACAGAGTCTTGATTTGCTGACACTAATAAAAAAGAAGTTTGGAAGAAGTTTTACACACTATCTATATAGATCAATGATCTCAAAAGCCTTTACATTGCAATGGGCTATTTGTAGCTGTTGCATTTTAGCCACAAGAGTGTGCATGCTCTATTCTGCTCTGTAATCTCTCTAAAATTTTTTTTTTGGGATTTCTGGAATCAGAAGTCCATTTTCTTTCTCTGTATATGCACAGGAAAGACAACTGCTGTTCTCCTCTGCAGTGGAATTGCCAGGTCACAGTCTGGTTGAGCTCCAGGCGAGAAGGCGTGGATAAACCAGGGAGCTCAGCTGCAAGCAATGCACCTGAGTGACTGGAAGGAGTGGACCCAGGGTTCATCCCTCCTCAGCCTCATTTAAGGGTTAGCAGCCAAGGGAGCTGTACCTCTCTCTCTGGATAGAGATTGCTCTCCTCTTGAACCCTCACTGGAAGAGGTGAGCTATTGTTTCTTCTTTGTCATTTTCTATTGCTCCATAGCACTTGTATCTCAGTAAAAGGCACTGCTATCACCTTCTTTAGCCCCATGCCCTCAGAGGCTATCCAGAACACACAAGAATAGGACAGAATCCATCAGCCCACTGCACACTGGCTCCACAGCACTTCTCTTTCGTTCAGGCAGTGCTCCAAAGCCCCACAGAGCCCATCCACCTCAGGCAAGCAGAACAGCTCAGATCAACTCACTTTAATTGTATTGGCACCACTGGTCACGCTTTCATCCTGAAACATGTCTCCAGTAAAGAGTCCCTATCCATAGAGAAAAATGAAGACAAAACAAATTTGGAAGTAGCTGATGCAACATTACAGGGAAAACTAAGCTTATCCTCATAGATACAGCCAGGAAATATACAACACTGTTCAAAAGCTGCACTGAGTCACTAACACCACCTCATGCCCAGTTCCCAAGATCCAGAAAGAAAATTATGAGAACACAGGCTGACACTAAGTCACTAAACAGGCAGTGGGGGCAGGAGGCAGGCCAAGAGCAGCAAACAGGAAAGCTGATTGCTTGTGACAGGCAATAAACCCTGCAAAACGTCAAATCTCCTTACTAGAGTAATAAACCAGAGGACAAATACAGAGCGTAGCACCCTGACACTAGGTAACAAAAATAGGTTTTATTTCTTAAGTTTACATTTGTGATCCTGGCTCACCTTGAACAACATTAACTGTGGCGTAAAAATTAAAAACAGTAAAATAAAACATAAGGGAACACTTGTAAATGACCAAATATGAGTGCAAGGAACTACTCAGAAACTGCACTGCCTCATGCATAAGTTTTACAGTGTCCAACAGGAACGTGGAGCATCCCCTAAGCATCAGCTGCTCAGTGAGATACAGTAGGTTAGCATTAACAGGTTAAGACATCAGCTTTAAATTTTCTAGTTTCAAATCAGGAGTTAAAACTGATTATATTGCTTTCATTTACTTGGAAGCCTGAAAAAACATGACCTAAATACTCATTAACTCAACCACAAAGGTTTGCATTTCAGGATAACTTCTACATCTATTTTTACATTTAAAGCAATTCAAATGAACATTAGAAATTGATTTAATGTGAACTGCTCTAGTAAAATATGTCCACACATGACTGCAGAACATTAAGATTCATAAGATATGGACATTAAAAAGAATTGAACCTGTTGTACCCAGATTATAATTCTGTGATATTAAAAGACCTAAAATAAAAATGAGGAGAAAGTGACCTTCCATCATATGAAAGGAATAGAAAATGCATTAAGCCATTCTAATAAATTGCCCATTTCAGATGTTTTAACATTTTTATTAATACAAAGTAGTTTTTTAGAAATTACTGTTTGATGACAGAAGAGGTGAGGGAGATGCAGGCACGTTGTGTTTGTATTCCATGACCTCACAAAAGCCTACAACACAAAACGATCACAAGTGAAATGACAAACAAATCAATAAATAATCTGTGGAAAATAGCACAGAGGGAAGAAGGGGGAATTTGAGATTATTGGCACAGCAGGCAGCCATGAGTCACGGAGACTTCAACACTTTGGGAAAAAATGTGCCTGTATCTTACAAGTCTGGCACTCTTAAAACAGCACCTGGAAAAATAAAATGATATCCAGAGAGATTAGAGACAAAAGGAAACTTACGTGTGAAAATGAGTTATGACACAACATCTAAGCTTTTCTGTGCACGGGAAGAAGTGCTCAAGTTGATAGTGACAGAAAGTCCAAACATCTTTCCAAGATGCCTGCTAAATATATCTGTATCTTCCCTTTCCTTCGTATTTGTACTATGCTACAGAAGAATGTACTTCATACTACTAAAGAAAAAGCCACACCCTCGCGTTACAGTTCTCAGCACCTTGTTTTAATACAGAAAACAACCGGACCCATTACAAGTTCTGTCCTTTCAGAAAGCAGTGAAGTGGGCAGGAAAACCCACTATGATCATCACATCAGATATCACAGCAGAGGAAGTGAACATACTATTTTTTGAAAATAAATTATCCATTTAGAATAAATAATTGGAGACAAGTGGCCCATAAATAATTTACAATATTCAAGAGTATACCACCTGTGTCAAAAATATTTTATGTAGTTAGACAAATATTGTTAAAACTGCTTGACAGTTGGAAATCTTTTAATTTGAAGCAGAAAGTAGACAATGAAAAAGAATTTAAGACAACTATGGAATGGAGGTTTTAGATATGTCCATATGTTTGGAGATCCCCTTATAAGCCTAATGTTTTCCTACATGTAAGATAGAAAATGGAAGATTGATTTTATCCCTTGGTTTCATGCCATGACAAATTCCATGACAAATACCACCACACCTGTAAATGGCAGTGTATAACCAGTCTTAGTTCTACCCTGTTTTCATTGCAAACAAAGGAGCCCAATCACATACAGGTATTTCACTACACTATCTTTGCCTCACATACTCTGTTTCTAAACAATCCAAGTAGATCCTTCCTTTCTACTTGCAGCTATTTCTCCTTCTATGCTATCTAGGTAGGAAGTTTCATTTGGGTGGAGGAAAAGAAAGAAGACTGATTTCTCAGTCATCTGTTATGGAAATACCACAGACAGAAGTGTGGCAAGTTTGTGTGGTTGGAGCATATTTAGTACAGACATAATTTTGTTATAAGTTTTAAAATGCTGATGCTTCTGTTTTCCAAACAGCACTTTGGTAGAAGTTTATATATTGAACAAATTTGGGCCCAAGTCACCAAAAGGTAATTTCATATTGCTTAAAAATCCATTTAAAATAAGAAAATGGAAAAACATAAATTTTCCTGTACATCTCTTTTCTTAATCTTCCTAAATCTAAAGCAAAACCTTAACAACAACAATTTACAAGGGCTGGGTATTGAAGTCACCTTCCATCTGAGTTTTGGCAAAACTGCAAGCAACTCGAAAGATTTTTGTAAGGCTCATCAGCCTCATTAGTAGGCACAGGTACAAGGCTCCATCTATAAGGACATCTTAGTGCCATCTATACTATCACGTGTCTTTCACAGTACCTACAAAAAAAAAGACAGTTTCATACAAATGAGAACAAACCTTCAAATAAAATTATTCTCCCATGAGTCTGTGATCTCTTTAAAAAGAAATAACAGTACCCTAATGAAAAGAGAAATCAAGTATGACCAAATTATCTCAATTTAACCCAAACATGCATGCTTACATTTTTTCTACAAAAGTATTAATTGTAAATACTTTCTCTAGTAAAACAGGAAGAACAGCATTTCTGAAGTTCTATAATTTGACTGGCCCTATTTTACTGTTTACTTACTATATCTGCAGAAAAAAACAGTGTTTCTAAAACTAGGCAGCTATAAAGACTTACAGGCTGGATACAGGTTTCTACATTTAAGGTGTATATAACCTTACGAAGCAAGTACTGAAATGCTTCAGAATATAACTGGTTTCTGCCATAGTAATTAATTTTCCAGTCCCCTCAACTGCCTCTAAAGGTTTTACAATGCAGGTCATCTTCTGAAACTTAAGAAATAGTTGTGATAGAATTGAAATAAAATTGAAAAATAGCAAGTACTCTGGAGAGTTACTTAATGTAAGCTACTCAGCACTTCTGGTCTTTTTTGATGTTTTCTAGAGTGCTCACTTGTTATTTGGAAACAGAGTTGAGGGTGAGAGGCTTGAAAATTTATATTCTAAACATTTAAAGAGGACTATGGCATAACACAGTATATTCTGGTGTTTATAATATGCTAGATGAATGCTTCTTGAAATAAGCAAATAAGAATTTTTATTCTACAATTAGTTTCATTATTAGCCTTTTGATTCTAATCCAACAAACTGAAATGTAATTGGAAGGGTTGCTGATAATGCTCACGTTATGTTTATTTTCCAAAATGGTTCACTGGGTTTCAAATAGTGCCCTTGCATGCATACACCATATTCCACACAGTAATTTTCTCAAGACAAGCAGAAAAGAAACAAGCCAAGTGAAAGAATTTGTAAATATAGACGGTATAAGTAAAAAAAAAAAAAACCACCCTGATGACAAATTGATATAAAATTTGTATTTATGTAAAAAAAATAATGTATTGCATACTGTTATATCAGTCAGTAACAGTATTCACCTTCACAGAGATTTCTAGATTCTCAGTCTTCAAAAGGTTACACATAACAAGGGAAACAAACAAATTACACGTGAGGCAGACTTTCTATTTGGCACTCCACAGATTTACACCCTGAGCCAGCAGGGAGACAGGTGCAGAACACAAACTCTGCTTACAATCGAGTGCGCTTCTGTACTGCTGAAGCTTATGTGGATCTGCGATTCCAAACCAGTCTGCCTTTGTCAAAGAAAGAGCCACAAACATTAAGCTTCTAAAATGGAGTCAGAATGAAGGCGCAAGTCAGCAAGTAGATCCTCCAAGGTTCATCACACAGGAGCTTTTCTGGAATCTGAGAAACTCACTTCATAAAGGCTTCATCTCAGGTTATGAGTTCAATTCAAGTACACTTACAAATACATTTAATACCATGCATGTTTAAATAGTATTTTACCATAACATCAGAAGTCAATCATCTTTTCCTATGCTTTCCTCTTTTAACATTTGCCTTACATAAACATTTTTTTTTTTTCCATCAAGATACCTACAGAAAGCTTAATCCTTAACTGTTGTAAATCACTAACACCCTATTCAATATTCATATAATCACGCAGTCAAGGGTCTGGCCCAAAACTATTTTAAATCCATGTTATTTGAAAAAAAAAAAAAACCCAAAACAAAACATGGTAATAGGATATATTCTCTAAAGAAAACATCTAATATACAGTCTGATGAAACATCAGAACTTTTACCACAGCCCTTCAATTTTAGGTACTAAATACTCCATAATGATCATCATGTAATGATTCTTATTAAGAAAACACAGAGCCAGCTATCCACCATCCACCTTTTTTTTTCCTACTTCCAAAACATCCTATAAAGCTGCAAAACATTTTTTTTTTAAAAGTATTCTATGAAAAATATCTTCATATTGTTGCAAAAATACAGAACCTCTCAATTCAACTATATCATCTAGACAAGAGGGCTCAACAATATTGAAACAAATTCTCAATATCTACAGACAGAAAACTAGTATCTCATACTAGCTATTCGTTTATAAGAAAACTGTATTCATAGTGTGCAGTTTACATCAAAGATAAACACAGCAAGATTGTCAAAACAGTAACCCAACATGTATAAGAGATGAATATATAAAGGCACATACAGATTGTCAATGACTGTATTGTATTTCTTTGAAAACAGAGTATTTTCTGCACTTGTAAACAACTTTGTGATCACACCTTTAAAGTGAGGTTAGTGCTGCTGACTCAGTTATTGCTACATTCACAGTTTAAATGAATTTTAGACAATGAGGTACACTTCCAAATAGAGCCATTTTCATTTCTCCCTTGTTTGTTTCATCATCAGAGATAATTGAATTATGTAGACTAAACCCACTGACCATAGAAATCAATAGCATCTAAATCATCAGATCCAACAGTAGCAGTGATTAACCTTCAAAAGAGAAAAAGGTCACCCTTGCAGGAAAAAGGAGTTCCTGTTCTTCATTATGTGAATATTTTCTTCATTTTTATGTACGCTAGTAAACTTTTATCTGGGCACATTAAGAGCCAATTCAAGCCGTACTGTTGCACTTTCTGACCAGTACATTAACTCAGTCTCTTGATTTAAGAGCTTGCAGTTTTAATCAACTTCCCTTTGATCTTCTGATAGACAAGTCTTTTATGCTTTTTTTCAGCTGCTTTATGAACACTTCGTACACTCTCCCACAGTACGTATGCACTGTTTTCTGCAGTTCCAGTTCTAGGGGCTGCAACAGTGAACGAACCAGATCATCTCCAAATGAATACTGTAAAGAGCATAAGAAAAGATTTAATGTCAGTAATACAAGATTGACATACATTATTACTCAGAGTTACTAAAGAATTTTATAGAAATGGCTTTGAGCATCATATTTGGTTTTATACACTAGTGAATGGTTTCAAGAAAATAATCACTGAAATACACAATATACTCAAACACTTTCAACAGTATGCCAAACAGGTGAATTTTTGCTTGTTTTTAAATAAGCTGATGAATATACCCCAAAGAAGCATGTGGGAAACTTAAAGTTACATTTTTTAATGAAAAAATTACCAATTTTAAATGGTTTCTGGTTATTTCTTTCTTGACCAGTAACTTTCCTGAATGAAATACAACTTTTAAGGAATCCAACTCTTTTCCATCTGTACAATAAAATAACAGCATGAGGAGTAAGTAGGACTACTGAAAGCAGAAAGCTTCATTAAACTGAATGATGGTCAAGCACATACTGTGCTTAACATGGACATGAAATAAAGAAGTCATTAACGCTACACTGCAATATTGTTATAAACAAATGAAAAACTAAACAGTATTTCAAAGTAACCTAATTTTGTTCACCTTATTACCACTGGATCAGCAGTGTTTCATACACTTTGTCTGACATACACATAAAGCAAATGGGAACGTAAATAAAAACAAGTAATTTTTTCTTCTGTTTTTGACAACACTCATAGGAAACAAAGAAATTGTACCTTTATGGAAACACATTCACTTTCCCTGCAATGTATTCTCAGACCCCCAAAAGTACTTTTTCTCATTTTTATATCCATATGACAACACGTAATAAAGCACCATTAAAATATACTATTGATTTTTGAAGGTTATATGCATACAATAGCCTGCTACATTAAAATGTGCATCAGTGCTACATTTTACAGCACTTCAGTGAGTGTACCAATGCAGTGATAAATAGTTTATGAGATGACTTATTTGCAGAATGAAAAGAAGTCACTGTACTTAGCATTTAAGTGAACAGTAACATATTTATACCTTGAATCTCTAACAAAGTTCAAAACGCTGCATAAAAAGTATTGTCTATCCTCCAAATCTAGCTACCATCAAATGTTAAAACGTTGCAGTGAGTATGTGCAAACTTTGGGAGGAAAAACATTTTTTCTTCTTCATTTTAAAACCTCCAGGAAAGTCAAACTTCAGTGGTCTCCATATGTCTATAACGTTTACAAGATGTACTTACTAAGGGGATGGGAACAGTCTTTCAAATAAACACGATGCAGGTACAGGCAGTGTTTTAGAATCATAACCTAAATTCAGTCTGTACAACGTTAAAAGTGATGTTAGTCACAAAATGAATACATTGGAAATCCATACAAACAGTAAACCCAAAATCAGTGAAATGTCTAAAACTTACTTCAAAGGGAAAGAAATTACATTGTTGCAATAAAGGCAAATTTTGCACAACTAAATGCTGAACACACTTACATTTTTTATTGCTTCATACACGGCCCTAAAAGTTGGTTGTTTATCATCATGGTAAACACCCCTGTTTCCATGAAGAATAAATATACCTTCTTCTTCAGCTTCCTTACAATTGCTTCCATAAATGCAGTGGTCAGGCCGATAATTCCATTGGCAAGGAAAGATATACAGACTTTCTGTGCAGAAAAAAAATTTGATTAAGTATCAAAATTGTTACTGGGGACGCATTCATATTTCTCATTTTACATTAATAGTGCTTCATGAATTTCTCTACAGTTGTTCTAAAACCTAACAACAAATCAAACTATAGGACATCTCAATTTTGCTTATCAATGAAAAGACTGTTTCTTAGATAAGGAAAAGCAAACAACCATTAAAAAGTCTACTGAATTCTTCCACTGAAAGGTTTTCTATATCATTTTTCTGGATTTCTGATCATACAAAACATCAGCTTTCTCACATTAGACTTAAAATCAATGTGGATTTACCTGGATTGTGAAAAAACATTATGTTCAACAGATCCTGATCACCCCACGTTATGTTCAACTTGTACTTCTTCAGCAGAGGCATAAGAATTTCTCCCCAGCGTAACTGGACTGTTGTCATATCATTCTATGAGACAGAACAAGGCTAAAGAGTCATTCATTCAGGTTAGCTATGCTTACAAAGAAGGAAATGCCCTATAGAATCACAGCATTTGCTTCTCAAAGCCACAAATCTCAAATGGTTTGCATGTGTTTATGTATTTATTCCTATTGAAGAAATGACTGCATAGAGGGAAAACACAGCTAAACCACTTCCAATATACTTTATTTCTTATTATCTTATGATAAGCAAAATTATATGCATCTCCTACTCCTGCCTTGATGAGTTCTCAAGATTTCCTTTTAAAACGTCTTCTAAGAAATATCAAATTATTTTTTGTCTTATAGGTTTCTGTACAGCAGTAAATTCAATACAAAACCAGATTTCAATTGATGTGTGCCAAGTACATTGGCACTGCTGAAACTTCCACACCTCAAGCAATTTCTTGTTCTTCACCAAAAAACTGCTAGCATACATACATTTTATAGTTAACTTCAAAAATTTCAAAATGGATCAATATAAAATTAATTACTGAATATTCCCAAACACACACAGGCAGAAGGATATGCATAAAAAGTAATGCATAAAAAACATAGATATTCTTCAAAAGTTTTCCAAAGAATTTTCCTAGAGTTGAATCTTCTTTTTTTATTTTTTTTTTATTATTATTATTTTTTTTTATTTCCACAGCAAAAGCACAACTTTTCCCTAGCAAAATGCAGCATGACTAAACCAATAGCTGTTACTTACTTCCCAAACTGTTGGTTAATTATAGTTCAGAAGGTAAACTTCTAAGGCTTGGGTGAGGAGATGATGTTTAGAGTAAGCTGGCCTGTGCTGAACTTCACATTACCAAAAAGAGGTTACTACATGCAGCATAAAAGTCATATATATTCTAAAGCTATTTTCTTATCTTTATACCACATTTAAGCTCAAACAGAACAGAAAAGGAACAAGGTTGCTCACTCTGTGCCTTCTATTTTAGTTCAGAGAGAGAGGATGCAATAACAAGACATCCTGAAGAGAGAGAAAATTCCAGAGAGCAAATATAGGATTAACCCTTGATTCTTATTAACCAAGTTGAGAATTTTTTAAAAAATTGAACTTCAGCATTGTTTGGGATTTGTATACAAAAACACCATGTTACAAAGCAGAAGAGATTACCTGGGGTACAATATTCAGTTTTAGAACCACAGCATCAAACGCTTTCCCCTACAAGCTTTCTTCTAAGAAACTAGAAAGCACCTACAGCAACAGTTTCTGTTTTAGTTTTTCTTCAAATCAAGTCAGCCATCAAATATGGAAAGCTTTTGGAATGGAAGATTAAAAAAAAAAAAAGACGAAATACAATCAATTTTCAGACAGAAATTAATAAAAAAAAAAAGATCTATAGTTTATATTATGTAAGAAGCCAAACTGAATGATACCATGGTCCCTTCAGGCCTTAAAAATTTATGACTATGGCTGCTTCCAAGTATTTGACAGGATCAGGCATAAGAAATGCACAAGAGAATTCTTCTCTAGCAAGAATAATAATTAGGCTCTGTGCAATGTGATTAAACAGAAGAAGATACAGCCTAAGCCTTCCAAAAAGCAAATCTATTAGACTGAAGCACCATGTATAAAGATTACTGCCTCACTTGGATTTTGCCATCCACAAAATATTGATCAAAGGTTTAAACTTGCACACAATGCTAAGAACGGTGAGCTAATTTAATTCTTAATTTATTCTTAAATCTATTAATTCTTAATTCTAATTTAATATGTTAATCATAGCAAGAGAGTATAAAGAACTAAAAAATAAAAATAATTTTTAAAAGATTTAGAGCTACCCATAAATATATTACTTTAAATTGTCAAAACAATTAATTCATAAAATTTTCATTTAGCTTGCATAGTTATTTAATAATACTGAAATACAGAGTATATCCCAAGGAGATAAAAAGCAGGTAACAGCATACATCACATTGCCAGATGTCCAGAAGCAACAGTACTTGACAAATAGTGCTATTAGATTTAAGAATTGGAAATTCTAATATTTCAATAATCTTTGTATAAATAAAGAAGTTACATATTAATTTATTAGCACGGATGTACAGTGAAGCCAGCGTAAGAATCACTGTGCAAGAAAAATTGCTTGCATTTCTTGAATTGAATTTGATAACATCGTTCTGCACAACTCCACTTGTAGTGAAGTCAGAGTGAGAAACAGAATCCTCGAGCTCAATCCAAACCAACACAAGAATTATTTTTCAAAAGTTACCCAGGTGAATATGAAAGAAGTAACCATCGTTATCATTAAAAGATTCTAAAATATAAACTACGTTTCCAATATCCAAAAAATTACCAAGGAGGTTGAAAAGATTTAAGAAGCAGCATAGGAAACATTCTGTAGTATTTTAAAATGCCATCAAGCTGTTACAGACAAGTTCTACAAACCTTCCAGATACTGATGTCAGTAAAGCTGTCATACTCAGTCGGCAGCAACCTAGTATTAAACTTCCTCTTAATTCTTCTAGTAGAACATAAAGTTGAGGAAACATGCTCAAATCATACAGTATTATCTACAGAAACTGAAGCTGCAGATCCACAATCACTGACCAATTTATGATTTCATTAATGTCATATGAGAGGAACTTCTTCTGGTGGTTACATAACTCCATCCTGTTCTTGCCTCAAAACTGTAGTGCTTAACCCTTGAGGTTTCCTCATTATTATTATTATTATTATTATTATTATTATTATTGTTAGTGACCTGATTTACTTCACCGAATCAGCAGAACATATTCTTTTCTCTATCAAATTTAATTGGTTCATGGAAGGATCCAACAAACAACAGAGGTTAGGACAAAGCAATCAAGAAAAGAAGCAAAAACCTACTGAAAAGAGCTTACTATGTTTCTCAGAACTACAGCCTCAAGCCATACAGAGTGGTCACAGAAATTGTGCTCAGGTTTTATAAATTCTCTGCTGTTTGTTTAAAGCATATCCATGAACCTTGCCCTTCTATACACTATCTAGAGTTACTTTGCTTGAGGCTTGTTTGATTTTGTACATTTGTTCCTTTCTGTGGGTGATTATGTCTCAAGCATTACATATAACATTAAATTCTGTGGGTGATTATGTCTCAAGCATTATATATAACATTAAGTATAGCAATGCCTAAGTCTCCTTATGTATTTGAAAAAGATCACTGCTCTCTTTTCATGTAGCCTCACTTGTCTAGGGCTTTCTGTTAAAGCACCACATTGCTATGTTATTGGCTACGTCCCTTCCAGTTTATAAGTGTCTGTGTCTATAGAATGGTTCATTTGGAAGGGAATTTCAATGATCATTCCATCCCTCTAGTAAATCAACAGCACCTCCCTGTTCAGTATCATTAGCAAACCTGCTACAAATGTATTCCACTTCTGCATCCAGATCACTGACAAAAATGTTGCACAAAACTGATCCTCAAGAACACCACTGGTGAACCCCCAACAGCCAGATGAAAACCCATTTACCACAGCCTTTTGAGCTCTGCCATTCTGACATTTTATCACCCAGTGCAGCACTAACTATTCATCTCACAGTTGAACAAAAGATGCTTTGCCCAAAAGATGCTGTGGGGACAGTATCAAAGCCTTACTGAATTCCAGAAAGATTACATTCACCAAGCATATACAAATCTACCTCCTAAATATTCTTGCACATTTTACATTCCCATTCTCAACTTCTGCTTTGCAAAGAAAATGACAGACAGGCACTGTCCATATAAAGTTTCTTTACCAGTTTGAGCCTTATCTTTGGCTATGCAATGTAAAATAATCACACTACATTCATGTGTATGCACGTGCATATAAGCAGTGCATTTGTTTTTACTGTATGCATGCAAACAGTCTCATAAAACACACAAAAAAGAAATAAGAAAGTAGAACTAGGAACTATTAGACACCATAGGCAAATAGCTAGGATGCTTTTCTAAAATGAATAGAGAGCTCTAAGAAGGCTGAGTTTAGAATAACTAAGATAACTAAGTGAATAAAAGATAACTTAATTCTGGACTGAGACATTAAGCTACATCTTCTCTTCTACCTGGGTGAGCAGAAAATAGCATAAAATGTTCTAACACCACTGGCTAATGTCCAGTTCTTTTTTCATTATTCGTTTTCTGGTTTCTTATAACTTTTACAAATCAAGCAAGAATCTTAAAGGTCTCAAGCAACAAAATCTTCAATTTTATTCCAAAGAAACTACAATAAAGAAGGAAGCCACATACTCAAATCTATCACATTGGAGGGATATCCTGACCCAGAACTTCCACTCTTCAGATATGAAAGAAGTCTAACGCAGATTTTTGAAGACATAAAGCTTCCAAAATATTATGCCTACTTAAGGTCTTTGCTCATTCTCCTGAATGAATATAAACAAATGTTGACCATCCTATAAGAAAATGAAGCATTTTCTATTTCTGACGTTACTTAACTAGAGTAGGTAAGAAATGAGACACAACATGGGTCGGTACTTGCAAGGTTCAAAAGCAAGAAATCCTAGAATGGCGTGGATTGGAAAGGACCTTCACAATCACTGCTTCTCACCTCCTGTCCTAGGCAAGGTTATCAACCACCAGCGCAGGCTTCCCAGGGCCCCATCCAACCCGGCCTCGAGTGCCTCCAGGGATGGGGCATCCACAGCTTCTCCTGGAAATCTGTTCTGGTGCCTTACCACTCTCTGTGCAAAAAAAAATCCCCCCTAGCATCTAACCTAAATCTCTCCTCTTTAGAATTGGTCCCCTTGTTCTACTGCTATCTGACCACACAAAAAAGTTGGCCTGCCTTCCATTCACAAACTCCTTTTAAGTACTGCAAGGCCACAATGAGCTTTACCCCAGAGCCTTCTCCAGGCTGAACGAGCCCAGCTCCCCCAACCTTTCTTTCACAGGAGAGGTGCTCCAGCTCTCTGATCACCTTCGTGGCCCACCTCTGGACCCACTCCAACAGCACCACATTTTCCTTGTGCTGGAGGCCGCCGGCCTGCATGCTGTACTCCAGATAGAACCTCACAAGGGCAGAGCAGATTGGGACAATCACCTCCCTCTCCATGCTGGCCACCCCTCTTTTGATGCTGCCCCGGGTACAGATTGCTCTCTGAGCTGCTGCACACACCGTTGGCTCATGTCCAGTTTTTCATCCACCAGACCCCATAAATCCTTCTCTGCAGGGCTGCTCTCACAGAGTTCTCCCAGTCTGTGCTCATATCTAGGATTGCCTCAATCCAAATGCAACACCTTACACTTGCATATGCTGTTGCTGCTGGCCAGGGGTATTAGTACAGACCTTACCCCTGAATTTATTTTCCCTCTCTTCTAAAGGTTCAAGACTAGAAGCTCCTTTACTATCAGTATCAAGTGAAGCCATACACTCAGGCCTACTGTGTATAGTCTCAACTCCACTAAATTCTTTTCAAAGTTTTGCTGCACAACCTACTATTTTTCAGATCAAGCAATTCTCCTCACAAGACATTCAAGGTACCTGAAGATGAAAACAGATCTTCTATTGAGAACAGCAGCGTCTGTAAGAAAGCCTCTGCATCTCAAGGCTCTGTGATACTCCACAAGCTTGTGGCACCACACTGTACATAGTAGGGGAACATAAGCTAAATAATCCCAGATCTGAACGCTCTCTATGCCAAGATCTCAATCATCAATTTCTCTATAAGAGAAACTCATTTTCTGCTCAGATGTTTCCCAGGCTTCACTGCCATTGACAAGAAAAGAAAATGGCTGGGCACTGTAATACCTAGGTTTCAGATGCAGCTTTCTCTCTAGATATCTTCAAACCATTCCTACTGAGCTGAGCATGCCTACACCAAGTCTAATACCACAAGACACTTCTCCAGTGTGCTCAACAGGAGGTAGCACTAAGTCAGCAGCATAGGTTAGAAATCATGAGGCAGTGTTCCTCCTGAAACAATTATGAAAAAAGCCTGCCAGTACCAACAAATATCCACTGATATATAAGTTGGCCATTAGCAGTGAAGTCTGAAGAAAAGTCTTAGCAAGTCAGCCACTTTGGAGAGAGTAGCTATCCTTACAAATTCACAGCTTGAACAAATAACAAATACACTTTCAGGCATGTATAACAGAGGTAAAACACCTGGAATTAATATCAACAGATATTCATTTTTTATACAAGAATCTGAATGATACAGACAACATTCTAAACCAAAGAAGGCATATCAAAATACTCCTGCTGAACAATAAAATTGGTGTATGTTACATCATGCATTCAAGAATTAGATCTGTTTCTTGCTCAAGACAATCAGAGTCAAAGAAGAGTGAGAAAAGCAGGGGAAAGAAAGACATAGAAATGGAAGATAAAAGATTTAATGCAAGAAACAAGTTCTCAGCAACTATGTTAAAACCTGCATACTGAAAAGGTACAGAAAACACCTCTTTTTCCTTTTACTTCTGTATTGAGCAAGAGATACAGTAGCTACAGTTACAGCACAGGAAAGTCACAGCTAAGTTACAGCTACATATTACACCTACTGTTAACTTCATACTTGAACCATACTGTTCTTTATTTTTCGTATTCTCAGTATTTTCAAAACCAAAAGGCATTAAAAGCACTTTACGATGGAAGCCAAATATTTCTTAAATTGGAGATGGGGAAAAAAGTAACAACCATAGCAAATGTGCAGCATCAGAATGTCTGAATGGCCAAAGGTGCCAGGCTGAAGGTGTTCCACACCTTCCTGTGTCAGTTGCATATTCTGGTCTCCTAATGGAGGCATGGGTTCGAACCCCACTTCTGACATCACTTTTAGCTAGCAATAGGATGAGAGGGAATAGCCTCAAGTTGTGCCATGGGAGGTTCAGGCTGGATATCAGGAAAAGCTCCTACAGAGTAGTCAGGACTGGAATGGGCTGCCCAGGGTTGAATCATTATACCTGGAGTGTTCAAGAAACTTGTAGATGTGGTACTAAGGAAAATGATTTAGTGGGCAACATTGATGTTAGGTGAATGGTTGGACTAAAGCAGGCATGTCCGACCTGCAGCCTGTGGACCACACTCAGCCTGGCACAGCTCATAATGTGGCCCGCCCCCAGTGGTGGCTCTTCCCTACTGAGTGGCTAGTTGCACACCCATCACTCATGACACCCAAACACTGTGTGATATCAGCACTGTCTAGGCTGAAAGCAGGGCACAGGGAAGGAGCAGCACAGTGCTAACTCAAGTTACAGCAAATTGTCTGTATTTTGATACATTGGCTAAACACAGTCCTGTGAACAGCAAAAAAACCAAGTAGCTGTGCTTTCAGTTTTTATAAAGGAATTTGAGAATAGGTTTCAAGGTCACAAAAAAAAAAAAAATAAAATAAAATCATCAATTTATGCTTTCAACACCATTTTCAGTCGACATCAATCTGAAAATTTTCAAACCGAATGTACAGATATTTAACTCCAAAATTTGTTCATGTCTCTTTACTAACTTTTTATAAAACTCTCTTAACAAAAAAATATCCTTCTATTCACAGGCACATCTTACTCATGGCATCACTTTTTGGCAGTAGGTATGTTTGTGAACAAATGTTTTCAAGGATGAAGTACAGGAAAAGTAAGACCTCATAAAAGATCTCCAATGAGCACTTTGAGAACTCAGTAAGAATTGCAACCACTGCCATCAAATCAGAAGGTAATGCATTAGTTTAACAAAAACAAGGTCAAATATTGCAGCAGTTTTATGTTTTTGTAGCTCTATATATTTTACAACAGTTGCTCCAAAAGTAATGCCTCATATTCTATTCTGTTGGCCCACAACATCACAGGCAGATGTTGGTGGTGCAGCAGTAAAGGTTGAACCTTCCTGCCAATATCCCATTACATTTTGTTGCCAGGAGACAGATGGCAGCAGAGGAGCAGTCTGACCAAATGGTGTCTGACATGGATGTACATATGAAACAAAGGTGTGTCATTTAATTCCTCCATGCAAAAAAAAAAAAAAAAAAAAAAAAAAAAGTCTGTTGACATTCATTAACACTTGCTGAACATTTTTGGAGACCAAACAGCGAATGTGAGCACAGTGGTGCATTTCAGCAGTGGTGACAGTGCCAGTGGGTCTCTTCCACTGGTGCAGGCTTTATGAGCATGGTATGCAGCCTCTTGCTCATCGCTGGTGAAAATGCATAGCTAAGGGTGTTAAAAAATACTGCTCTGTTGCTGAGAATTTGCTCTATCAAGCAGAGTTATTGTACTCACTGCATCTGCTGCAGCTCCCATGGAAATTAATAAAAGGCTTTACTTTCGGAGTGACATGTATATGCAGCCTAAGCAATTCCTCTTTACTCAGTGTGGCACAGGCTAGCCAAATGGTTGGACATCCACTGACTAGATGATCTTAGAGGTCTTTTCCAACTTCAACAATTGATTCTAAAATGATTCTAAATGTATGTTGTCACTCTTAAGGTGTACCTTCCCCTAGTTTTTGACTGCATGACTGTTTTCCCTAATCAGACATCTTCCCATCTTCATGCAGTTTTGTTCCCGTGGTTGTTCTCAGCTTCTTGTGTGGTTTGTTGTGTTTTGTTTTTGTCTTTTTTTTTTAAAAGTATAAAGTAAGACAGTAGCATAATTATGCAACACTGCTTTTGAACTTGTCAAGTATACAGGGAAAAAAAAATCTGTGAAGCAACGACTACTTCTTGTACTGGACATGTTGCTTTACCAAACATTTACATGACATAGTTACTTCTCTACAGAAACTAAGAACGCAAAGTAAATCAAAGGCACTTAAGTTGATTATCAGCTGGTTAAGCTTTCAAAGATCAAAATTTAGAAACGGTACAGTTAAAATAACTTACTAAATGTTTTAGCACCACCTCCTGGTCGTATTACTACATACACACATTCTTAAAGTTAGTTAATAATACACATAAACTGTTTTCTGAAAGCTTTGAAGTGAAGAAAAGCAGGAAACTATGTACTGACAAACATAATTTAAAGCAACTGATTATATCCTGTCACATGATATTCAAGAAAAAGAATTAAAACAATCAAGCAGACTTACAAATCAAGAATTTATCTTTAGATACCGCTTTAAATACAGCTTTTTTAGATCACCGTTCCAGTTACAAGAACATATTTGTCCCAGATGAATTTTGGATGAAAATACTGTCCCAGATGAATTAGAAACAGGAATTTGCAATTAAAAGATGTATGAAAACAAACTGCAATAAACCTAATATACATACCTTGAAATACTTTCTTCTGATCCGTGTCATATTCATCAACATGACTCCAGAGTTTATTCCAGTCGCTCCATAATAGGGATGCCGAGCAAAGCGATTATACCACCCAATACGAGGCTCTTCATGCTCTGGTGCCATTGCAGCAATTTGTGTGGAGTTGAACTTTCTCAGAAAAGACCAAATATCATCAACGGGTCTCAAAAACAGTATGTCAGTATCAACGTACAACAACGAATCCACGTCTTTCAGGATTAACTGAAAAGAAGTGGAAAAGAAGTTTAAAACCCAACTTAACTAATTCAGCTTCTCTTAATAAAACAAACTATGGCAATTTGTACTTTTAATATATTTTTGACACATACAAATAAATTCACCTTAGGCTGTCAGTTTGTAAGCAAAAAAAAATTTATTTCCTCTTCTCTTTTTGAGAATTTCTGCAGACTGAAACAGAGGTTTGATGTACAACAATAATACAACAGAGCAATGCCAACATTTGCATTTTATATCCTGGGTCTCCTCGGGAGAAGGCTGTAGGCCAAGTAAAACACTGCAATAACAGAACCTCCTAACTTCTGCCCTTTCCCTTGCTTTGATATGCAACTAATCAAACAATGAGGCAAGTGTAAGGAAACCCCACAAGTGACAATGTTCGGGAGATGGCTGCCACTGCTACAGCTCATCTGGCATGAAGTATGATTACTGAAGTCTTAGATGAGCAAATAAAAGGCCACCAAAAACACTGGTAACAACAGGCTGTTTCTTGTTTTGTTCCTCTTAGACCCATGCAAGTAGGAAACTTAACAAATAAATGAGATGCGTGATAAATCCTATCTCTGAGAGGGTGACATAAGCAACCTACAATAAGCACCAGGAATATAATTACATTATGCAGCAACTGAGAAAGGGAATTGTATTCCAGGGTGTATTACCAGAAAACGTAGAGGTTTTTTAGGATGTCATAACTGACTTTTAGGAGCAGCAGTTCTTGATTTAAAACTAAGCAGAAATAAGATTAGCAAAATGCTTGATACTTCTGTATTTGTAACACAATAAACTTACTGGCAAGAATAGCCTTTGTGAAGCACATGGTTTGAACAACTTCTTCCATTCCTTCGCACCTTCTGATGGAAATGTTATTGGATACAATGTGTAATTAACTTTTCCTTCATATGGGAAGTCATCAAGCTAGATGAAAAGATCACAAAAAATTACATGAGTTCAATGTTACGGGGAATCATATCTTATTAATAATTGAACACAACTGCAACACCTCTTTTCCAAAGCAGAAATGTTTCCTGAACTGCAAAAATCTGTCAGCTACTCAAAATACTTAAGCAAAAAGTGGCACCTGCAGGACACAATGAAGAAAACACATCATATCAGATCACATACACAAGAGCAAGTAAAATCCATCAGTATTTACAGGAAGTAAATCCAGACATTTTCTCCCCTTAACTGATTTCCACAGGAAAACCATCAATGAAGTCTTTCCCAATTTAAAATAAGCTTATCTAATTTTACCACAATTCCCTAAAGTATGACATTTTGAGCACAAAAAATAGTAAAACTCTCCAAAGGTATATACCAGTCAGCTTCTAATACTGTCACTCCCGCCAATGTTATACCCATAAACTGGAAGCTGCTAAAATTAGATGTAACCACATGCAACATTTTCACAGAATGAGGTTTCCTTTTGCTTAGACAAAATAAAGCTGACTCAGAAAGTAAATACAGGGATGAAAAAGGACGGATTTCTTCTTGTAAAATCAACTGCGTTCAAGCTCACACAATAAAACTGGTTTGTGGTCAGAACATCAGGTTTCTATTTAGCAAATTCAAGGTGACAAATGATGAAGTTTGGGTCTGTCTCTGTGAGAAGCCTCAATATCAGCAACTGGCATTTTTTTAAAAGGAAAAAAAAACCTTAAAAATCCCCATCCAACACTAGGAAACACTTGCACATTACCTCAGACTTCTTTATTTCTGCCACTACATTCAAATAACACCCAAGTAGCTGATAAATGTTTAAGTATTACTCCAATTGTACATTTATTAAATAAATGTTTGGGGTACTTACTATGTCTCTGAAGCTCTCATGTAATTGATCCTCAGCAAAAATATGAAACTGGAGAGGTTTGATGCTGAAAATAATGGCTGATCTCAACATAGTAACCGTCTCCTCCAGTCTTTCACCACAGGCAACCACTGCGAGATGCACTGTCTCAGAAGGCTCATATGTTTTCATATAATTGTATCTAACACAAAAAGGATTTTTCATGAACATTATTCCTTTCGCAGGCTTAAACAAAAGCTCTATTTTTTGCAGAATGTAATTTAACAAAATAACCAATAATGGACAGATAAAATAGAACATACAAAACAACTGCATTACACTTCATACTTAAGTTAAATCTGAATTATTCTCTGACCCATTCCTACCACACCAGCCCATGAGGATGGAAGAGCTACACAGAAACCAGACCACAACAAAACAAGAAGCTTTCCACCAAAACAGCCAGATTAAAAGAAAGATTGCATTAAGTTGCATCAAAACGCAACAGGCTGTCATCACTTCAGGTCTATACACGTGTTAGCAATTTTTTCCCTTTTCCCTGCACTCTTAGTGCAGACAGGTAAATATGATACACACAGCAGAGGTAATACCAAAAGTGAACTACCACTATTTTTAAAAAGTTTCATTAACAAATGTTTTTGAGCAAACCACTTGCATTTTGTCCATTCTCTGCTCCAGTAGATACTTATGTCAAAAATATGCTTCAGACCTTCTCCCAGGCACTGGCAAAATGCAGAAAGATTTCTCCCTCCTGCAGGTGTGCAACATGGTTTGGAAAGAGGAGAAGCTAAGAGCTCAAGAGACTGTGTGGGATGTCCTGGTGTTGCCCATGGTGCCAACAAATCCCTCAGACATCCCAATTGCACGCAGTGCTCACATCTCTAAGGCTAAAGCACTGCAAGGTGCAGGGCTTGGAAGTCATTTCTCCCTTGTTCAACAGTTATAGTGTGAATTGCCTGCTACGTATTAGGCAGGGTATATTATTTCATTACTTTGACACAACAGGCTAGAATTACCATCAAGTAAATACCAGTAGCTTGGTAGCAAACACTGCAGGCATACTAGATCTATAGCTGTTTTCTTTGGTTTGGATTTCATACACTTAACCCGTAAGAAAAGCTTTCAAAGGTTTTAAGTGCATGTCAGCTCAAAGCCAACTTTTGTAACAATATTCCACACCTGAGCTATTCACATCATACTAAGAGCAGAGAAGGGCTAATAAAACTAAGAGCATGTGAAGCTCTCAGAGACTTCCAAGTTGTGAAAACAAAGAATTCTCAAGTCAGAAAAGACTTTGCTAAACTACTGACAGCAGAGAAATGCTCACCCATTCTCAAACACCTGCCAAAGACAGACATACCCCAAAATACAAATGAGCAGATCTCATTCTTAGCATAATCTCTACCTAATTTACACAACTAAAACATATGTAAATGTATAAATCTTTTCCTATAAATCAGCAAAATATGCCATGTAAACACGCCTTTTTTCTTTAAGTTATGGAAGATTAACACACGTTATTTTGAGATCCATGAAGCAAAATACAAGCAACAACATTGCTGTAGAACTAAGTTTGGTACCATAAATAACGTTTGCATTTAAAACAAAACAAAACATTCCAAGCTTTGAAATGGTTCAAAAGCTCTGAAACTACTAAAATCCAGCAACCCAGGGATATAAGAGGGATAAAACTTCGATTAGAACATATAGTCAATATTAAGTCAAGGTTTGGAACTGTATTCAAAATCACATGGATGAAAGACAGATAAAATTTAGATCCAAAAATGGACACCTAAATGAAGACGCTGGCGTATGAGATTGTGTCTCCCATTCAAACTAATAGAGACCTGATTGGAAGGCAATGGAGCCAGGACAATAATTCATCTTACCTCCAAGTAAATACCTAGGGCTTGATTCAATTGTTTAAGACAGTGTCACTTCATATGTTCCAGAATAGCTTACCCTGACTTCCAGGTGCCAGTCCTTAAGGACAAGGTATCTCAAAGACTGTGTTATATCTGTTAGTCCTATGTAGATGTCAAAGATACCCTAGTGCTTCTCTGTTAACATCAGCCATTTATCTCTTAGCAACTTACTGGCTGGTCACCTGGGTCACACTATTTTCTTTCAATTTTAATGACAGTTTAAAGCCACTTGACACAAACACATAAACACAGACATTCGGAAGATTCAATCCACAGACTAAATCCTTTCAGGGGTCCTGCAGCAAAACCTGAAATATTAGTTCAGTTTAAAAGAGAGAGAGAGAAAAAAAAAACCAAAAAAAAAACCCATAACCTTTAAATATAATCGAGGCATGAACATTCAGACCTTTATACCTAAAGCTAATCTAAACATTACACCATGTAGTAAGCAGCTGATGCAAAGCAAGCTGAATGTGATGAGGGTAGCTGAAATCCACAAATAAATACACCACTGCAGTCTGAACAAGCTGCAAGCAGCAGATTAGCCTCATCACTAATCCACTGTAAAGGGAATTACAATAATTAAGCCCTGAAGTCATGAGAGCCTACACTGATATTGCAAGGTCATGTGATAAATAATGGCACTACCTATACAAACTGCATAGCTGAAAGCCAAGTTCCTGAACCACACGGAACACAGCTTTCCATGAATAAAGTATGATGAATATTACACCAAAGCAGCCCTTAAACACAGCACTGAGATTCAAAGACTTTTTCTACACCTAGTCACACTGCAAATAAAAGAACACTTCAAACCACACAACAAAAAAAATGTTTGCTGTAATGTTTTCGCAGTCACTTTGCCCACATCTAATCTGTTTCATGAGCTTATGAGCTCATTAGTTCAATTTTCTCAAATCTCTGTTTAAAAATGATTTTTTTCAACTCTGAAAGAAATTGTGTGAAAAAGTGAAAGCCACTTACACTTAGAAAAAGAACAAACGAGCCTAGTGAAAACGTGTTTTCATTTTCAGTATAAAAAGTCAGCAAACAACAGTATCGGTGCAAAAATATTCCCTATGTAAGTTTTCTGATAATTAACATGGAAAAGTTCAAGGAGATTGATTTAGGTGAGATATAAAAAAAAGATCTTTCACAGTGAGGGTGCTGAGGCACTGGAATTGCCCAGTGATGTGGTTGAGGCCCCATCCCTGGAGACTTTCAAGGCGAGGCTGGACCAGGCCCTGGACAACCTGATCTAGCTGTCCCTGTTCACTGCAGGAGAGTTGGAGTAGATGGCCTTCAGAGGTCCCTTCCAACTCTAAGGATTCTATGATTCTATGAAAATGCAAATTGTGCTTTTTAGGATCTGCAGGACAAATATTTTCACATAAGTGACCAGTACCATTTCAAATCTGCCACCTTAGCATGTCTCAGAAAATCAAATGGTAGACATGTAAATAGAATACAGATGATTTACTTATCACGCTTTTTCTTCTTTGAAAGCTTTGTCCTTGATCTAACTCAATGGAACATTAAGGAAGCAGACCCAGCAGCCTTTACTCACTAGGGAAAAAAAAGAAAAAAAAAAAGAAAGCAGAGTGAGAAGGCAGTAAAGCCTGCACTGATTAAAATGCAGTTGGGAAATCATTCCCACAATTACAGAAAGTAGGATCAAGGTAACTACTAAAATTATCTGCATTTGGAAGTGATGAAAATTCTAGTTTTTACTCAACTTAATTTTCCACTACAGCTCTGAATTAAAAACACAAAATAAGCTCTGATTACAGCCTAAGTATGCTAATGATACCACTGCATATAATGTCTAAATGTCATCTGTTCAATTACAAACTCAATTGGTAGATTAAGTTTGAAGTTACAACATATTAGTCATTCAAAAATCTATTACAGGAGTTGGAAGTCTCATCCTGCAGTGAGCTAAAAAAAAAAACAATCCTGTTTTTCAGGATTGTTACAATTCAGCTTAATTTGTCCACACCACCAGCACCTCAGTGCACCCAAAAGACGGCAATGTAAGTTAAATAGGCCATGTAAGTTAAAGCACACTTAGAAGCAACATCCAACAAGTGAAATCAGACAGACTGTTATCAGACAGTTAACAGTAGGAACAATCTCTAAGATCTTCTTCTTATTTGGTCTCAGGCAGAGATGAGCAATCACACCTGCTGGATGATACTGAGCACCGTGGAAACTGTACCAGCAAAGTCACATGCCATCAAGATCATGCAAAACCTGAGCCTTATGTCTTTAGCAGCACTGTTAAAATTTTGGATAAAGCCTGTACTGTATGTTAAAAAAAACTGAACTCATGCTTCCTCTACCAAAGCTAACAATAAATATTCTCTATCAAAAGCACTGCACAAAACACTGTTTTGTTCTGTCTGTAACAGTGTTAATAATCAGAACATTGATATAAAACGTGGGTACAGAAGAGCTCCACAATCCTTCTCACATGCAGCAGAGGTAAGAAATCTTAAACAGATTAACTGAGACAACATCTATATAAAACATTACTAGAATCATCAACTGATCATGAATGGTCAGGCGCTGGAATGGGCTGCCCAGGGAGGTGGTGGAGTCAGCATCCCCGGAGGTGTTCAAGGAACATTTAGATGTTGTACTAAGGGACAAGGTTTAGTGGGAAATATTGGTGGTAGGTGGACAGTTGGACTGAATGATCTTGGAAGTCCTTTCCAACCTTGGTGATGCTATGAAGTGCTCAGAGCTCACTGCTGGCAAGCAAGCTGAATGAGCCATAGCACGAGTCAGACTGAGCTCTGTGTGAATACCACTCCTCAGAATTCCCAAGCCCATATGAATCTTCAATGCTTCTGTTGTACAAACACGAGTCTTATAAATCCACACATTTGTTATCACTCCTTGCTTTGAACACATGCAGTAACTCAAAAGAAAATGATGTAGCTAGCAAGCTACGTTTCAAAAATGCCTATACCAAGTTCTTTCTCTCACAGAAATATCTGCCACCTGCAGATTTGATGTAAAAAAAAGCCTGCTATCAAAGGTCTGAGCTCTCCAACTTATCAGTGCTCTGGCACTTCAGATAATGCACCGATTTTGTCTGAGAAAGAAACAAAACTACAACTCATATCCAAAGCTGAAATTGAACTGCAGCTATTTTCTGTGATGTCCCAACACATACAAGGCAATGAGGCTTATGCAGCAGGCTGTGCTCAGCCACTGTAATAGCTTGCTGTCATCCAAAGAGGGAGCATTTTCCTCTCCTGTCTGCCATCTTCCCCACCTCTGCTGCGGACAAGCCAAAACCCTGGCACTCACTGCAGCTCCCTGAAAGAAACTGATCTCACTAAAACACAGAAGTAGTAACAGTTTGGGGAAGTGAGGTAGTCCTTTGAAGTTGGGACAGGTTCACTGAGGAATTCAACAAGCACCAGCATCAGCACAACATACGGGGATTCACTTAAAGTATTGATTAAATAATTGTATTTCATTAATATGAAATGATTAATTTGAACATCATCACGATCTTTCCACATTTAAGCAATACATTTTCTTTCAGCTTCAAAAAATCAATCAACATGAGACTTTGCACGTATTAGGATTCACTGTGAAAGAAACTGCACTATCCTCATGAGGCCATAATCAATGCATACCTCATCAGAAGTGCCTTCCCAGCCACATACAGCATTATTAATTGACTAATATACATTATAGCTTAATGTACACACAAAGGAACTGCATACTGTTTCTCTATTTCTGGTTCCAAGTTCCCACTACTTAACTTGAGCCTGGCAGAAGATCTGGAAGTTTTTTGCTCTTTTGATGTGTCACAATGTTTTGTAGAGAGTTTGTGGGTATCACAATGGGCAAAGGGGTCAGAAGGCAGTGGTGCACTCTCCTATTTCAGCACTGCACAACAGACAGACTGAATCAATGAAGTTTACAATTGTATCTTTTCAAAAAGCAAAAGCTAAACTCCTACAGTCCATCACAACAGCACTGACATCACCTAGTGCTAAACTTCGTGATGCTAAACTCCCAAAAAGCTAACCTGAAGGTGAAAATATATGAACTGAGTTCATCCAGACAGCTAAAGGAAACTCAGATGTGCCAAAGGAAGATGATATACTGACAGTTTAGCACAGAGGGAAAGATTCAGCAGTCCCAGTTTATGTGGGCACCTCACCAGCAGCCCAAAAATTCAATCTAGGCCATATCTTCAATTAAATTCTTGGCAACTGATGAGCTTAAAAAGCACTGAAAGGACACAAGCAAAAGGGAATGGGAATAGATCAAGGAAGGCTGCTCTGAAAGTAATGCCTCCTAATTTATTTTCTTGACCCACGATGTCAGAGGCAGACGGTGGTGGTACAGCAGTAGACATGGAACCTTCCTGCCAATACACACTTAGTTTTGTTGCCATGCAACAGATGGCAGCAGAGGGCAGTCTGACACAGCAGGGTCTGACATTGAAGTTCACACAAAGCAAAGGTGTGTCACTGAATTCCTCCATGCAGGAAAAAAATGCACCCATTGACATTCATCAACTCTTGCTGAATGTTTATGGAGACCAACCAGTGAATGTGAGCACAGTGAGGTGGTGGGTGGTGTCTTTCAGCAGTGACAACAGTGGGTCACCTCTGACTTTTATGAGTGTGGCACGCAGGCTCTTTTCACTGCTGCTGAAAATACACAGCTAATGGTGGTGACTATGTTGAAAAAATAGCTGAGAATTTGCTCTGTCTGTAGTTATTGTGCTCTTGGTATCCATTGTAGTTTCCATGGAAATAAAAATATAAACAAATAAACAAGAGGCATTACTTTTGGAGAGACATAAAATCTTTCCCGCTATCATAATGTTCAATAGCATTTAAGCCTTGTGAAGCTACACACTTTTTTTTCTAGAGAAAGAAAAGGAAAAAAAAAAAAATAGGGCTTTGTCATGGCTGTATGATTTTTGATATTGGCATTCCACATCATAACATCATGTAGTGCACTGGGAGTTAAAGTGTTAAAGCTCCAGTTCTGGGCACCTGTCTGGAAGAGAAGAAGAACTACAGACCCCAGGGGGCTCTGCGCTCAGAGGAGATACAACCCCTGGCAAGGTCACCTGATGAGCTCTTCTTCCTCAGGTTTCTTCCCTGCTCTCAACCAGACTGCACAGCTCACCTCACTGTTACGGTGAGGCCTATCCACCTTTCAGACACTTTCATTATATTTGATTTATTAGCTTCGATTCTAACTATATTGTATTACAGTGTGTTATCTTGCATTCCGATACCATATTTAGTAAATTAGTTCGTTTCTCCTCAGGTCATTGCCGCTGTATTTAATTATTCTGGGGCTCCCAGTTTCCCTTTTCTGGAGGTGCAGATTTTGCAAAATCCCTCTGCCCCGCTACTTGCAGACCTGGGCTGAACCACCCCCAAAATGCTGACAGGCTTTTAGACAAAAAGGGACAGAACCATCTCAATGGCTGTTCATTTCAACTCTAAATGTAAGAAAAATTAACTTAAAATCATATTTACGTAGTGAGGAGAACTATGTGAGTTAGAGAAGATACCCGTCAAGTAGCTTAAGGCTTCTTCAGTTTCTTTACAAGCTACTATTGTAATCAGACAGCTTTAAGACATGTGAACAACCACATCAAAATATTTGAAAGTCTTGGTAAAGATTAAACTTTCAGGACATAGTATATGCTTCAATGTAATGTATTTTAAATTACATTCTAAAGTAACTGTTTCGGTAGTTTTGGATGAAATACCTTCATATTCTTGATAGCATGGAATTTTAATGAAAAACTCAGGACTTCATTAAACCTGCCAGTTTTTATTACAAGTTATATCACAAGTACTCACCAATCATTTTTAAGATTATTTTCAGATAGACTTTTTACCAATGTTAACAAGTCTTTATTTAAGAAAGCAACGTAATTGGAAAAAACTGAAAATTCTTAGTAATTACATTTCCTCAATGCGTAGTTTAAAAATAGAACAGAAGGACAAAGTCCAAAGACAACTGTAAGATAAACATGTGAAACGTGAAGCAATCACAATATTTTGCTTTGTCACCTTGCTAAATAGTCACAAATGCTATTATATTAGCTGCACTTGTCTGCAATCAAAAAATAAAGAACTATTTAATAATAGATCCTACCTAAAAGCAGCTTCCCAAAAGCAGTTCACTCCACAAACATCAGAGGGCAGCATCCAATAGGAATTCCAGAAAGATACAGACAAATTCTGACACCTAACAGGATAAGACAAAAATAACCTATATAAATGTTACTGGTTATACGGCAAAGTTAATAGGATTATTTCATAGCTCAAACATAATTTGATCAGTTAATGACCTGACAGAAGACTCACTACATAATGGACCCTGGATAATACAAAAGAGGAGGTGCCCATCAGGAAGGATTCCTTTAAGGATGTATGGCCCCATTCCCATCTGCATTTCCTCTCCACTTACTTTCAGAGTGAGAGAAAGAAGGGGAGTGGGATTTCTGAAGGCCATTCTATGTTCCCTGCTTAGTGCAAATCTATAGGTGACAGAGTGAAAGGCTACACTTAAAGCTGGAAAGATCCTTCACCATTGCAGCGTCTTTATCTACAAGCAGAGAAGTTGGAACATTCCATTTTCAAGTGCACATTATCCATTTAAACACAATCCCTATTAACCCGTGACTACTCAGTGCAACCTGCAAGACTTATTTAAAAGAAAAAAAATAATAGAACTTTTAGCACCAACTAATTCAGCCACTTCGTTACAAAAGGTTACTGCAGTGCAGAAATAATCACCCCATCTGACAAGTTTTCCTTCTCTATATTAAGAGCAGTCATTTGTTCACTTGTATTACACTAACAGCTAAAAAGGTGTGCTAATCTGATATGAAATTTTATGCAAGAATATCACAGGAAATATTTTAAAAGAGCAATAGAAGTGCATGCTATGATTCTGGTGAGTGAATCAACAATGAAATTTAAAATCTTAAACGAGCACGTGGAACACTGCAAAGCAAGGGGTGCCTGCTCTTGAGTGACTTCCTATTAGTGCTCTTCAACATCTTCATCAATGACACAGACAGCGGAATACAGTGCTGAGCAGTCCGGTCAATACATTGGAAGGAAGGGAAGCCATCCAGAGGGACCTGGACTGGCTGGAGAAGTGGGCCCATGAAAACCTAATGAGGTTCAACAAGGCCAAGTGCAGGGTGCTGCACTTGGGTCGGGGCAATCCCAGGTATTTATACAAACTGGGGGATGATCTCCTTGAGAGCAGCCCTGCGGAGAAGGACTTGGGGGTCCTGGTGGATGAGAAGCTGGACACAAGCCAGCAGTGTGCACTTGCAGCCTGGAAGGCCAACTGTGTTCTGGGCTGCATTAAAGGGGTGGCCAGCAGGGAGAGGGAGGTGATTGTCCCCCTCTACTCAGCTCTTGTGAGGCCCCATCTGCAGTGCTGCGTCCAGGCCTGGGGCCCCCAGTACAGGAAGGACATGGAGCTGTTGGAGCGGGTCCAGAGGAGGGCCACTAAGATGATCAGAGGGCTGGAGCACCTCTGCTATGAGGAAAGGTTGAGGGAACTGGGCTTGCTTAGCTTGGAGAAGAGAAGGCTCCAGGAAGACCTCATTGTGGCCTTCCAGTACTTGAAGGGAGAGTATAAACAGGAGTGGGAATGGCTGTTTACAAGGGTGGATAGTGACAGAACAAGGGGGAATGGTTTTAAACTAAGACAGGAGAGATTTAGGTTAGATATCAGGAAGGAGTTTTTCACACAGAGGGTGGTGACACACTGGAACAGGTTGCCCAAGGAGGTTGTGGATGCCCCATCCCTGGAGGCATTCAAGGCCAGGCTGGATGTGGCTCTGGGCAGCCTGGTCTGGTGGTTGGCGACCTGCACATAGCAGGGGGGTTGAAAATAGATGATCACTGTGGTCCTCTTCAACACAGCCCATTCTATGATGCTATGCTTCATCATTATGCCCTGTTAACGTAATGCAAATGGTGCTTATCCTTGTTAACAGCCAGCATTCATGAAGGAAAGACATGCAAGAAGGAAAACTATAGAAAAAGCTGACAATGAAAAGCTGAAAGACTACAGCTCAAAGCTGTACTGAAGTTTGTTTTATGAGTTTGAAATGAATCAGCACTACCTTGGCTGGGTTACCTGATACTTACATAAGCCATATATGCTTTGTGAAAGTCAGACTTAAAAGATTACTGCGATAACAAGAATTGGCAAAATGTACAATCTTTTTTTCTTGATGCAACAGAAAAATGACCTGATAAACACACAGAAGTGTTACATAAAGCCTTGTTAAGCGTTGGTGGGGCTGAGTTCTTTAGTAGAGATCACAGGAAATCTTCACATCCTGTGGATACACGTGTTGGCAACATCATTGGAATCATTCTATCTTATGACAATAGAATGATCTCCACAAAGAAATATCTCTGTACAAAACAGGGTAACGTAGACTGCGACTTCCTTGTTTTTGAATATTACTGGGGAAGATCAGTGGTACAAAGCTATAAATTCTCCCTGACTAGATTCATCCTCAGGGCTTTTGAAGTTTAAAAAAAAACAAAACAAAACAGTAACAATTTCATGGCACATATCTGAAGAACAATCTTTATGATCTCCAGTGCACACCTTTTTGTAGTATCTGCTTCTCATTATTCTGAGGACAACTTAACAGACTCCCAAAAACAGCATTCTGCTTTGGAAGATTATTGTATTATTACAAGGATTCTTCTTCCAGCTGTCACAAGCACTGTGTTTTTCTTAGCTGCCCTGAGCTACTCTCTTATCCAGATTCTCATGCCAAAAACTAGAATTAATGCCAAAGTGCTTTCTCTGCCACATTAGCCCTTTCCAATACCCCAATTCATATTATGACAAGGTTGTCAGGCTTGGATTTCATTCACAAATTGTGTTTGTTTGAAACAGAAGCGTTACTGAGATGCACGCATGATTTACCAAACATGTAAATCAGACTTGTTTCCTGCAAACAGAAGCCTCTCAGCTGATCACATACTGCTGTGTTCCTACAGCTTCCACACACAGAGGATTAACAGATTGACACTGACACATTTTTTGTTATTCACAAGAAGAAGATCACTCAGAAATTACATTCATCAAGTTTTGGTTTTGATTTTTTTAAATTAAGAGCTAGAATAATACATGAGAAAAGCTTGGATGACAAATAAGGCGTCCCAAGTGATTTACAAAGCTAAGGAGGTGCATTCTGCCTGTTAATCAAACAAGTTACCCAAGAAAGTACTGGTTGGGCAGGAATACTTACCTTCAGCACTAGGGGATAGTTTGCTCTCATCTATTACAGGTTATGTGGTTAAAGGCTAATTAAAGGAGAAAAGACAGACAGCTCAAGGAACCCTGCTGCTTACACAGCACAAAGGCAGCGCTCCCCGAGGAAGAGCATTCTGGGGTTGTGCCAAACAGACTGCAGTAAGGAGCTGGGAAACTTCAGGGAAATGACCAAAGATAAGGAAAGCAAAGCATCAACGCAAGCTGTAGAGAAGTGAGAATGAAAACACAGAAGGAAGAGGGTTCAGTGACACACAAACAGGCTGTCCGTAGAACTGGCTGTGTTGCAAACCTGATCATCAGTCTCCTTCATAAACACTACTTCTGTATTCCTGGGTGAAGGGGTGCTCTATTTTGTGTGCACATGCATGCATGGAAGTGCAAGAGGCAACCTCAAATCACAGGGGCCCACTTGTCTGCAGTGCCACGAACTGGAGAGCCCTGACCTGAATGCGCACAGCATGTGGGTGTGCACAGTGGGCCACTGTTACTAGCAAGTTCCAAGCTGGATTCACCAACAAAGAGGGTCATAGGCTTGTCAGCCAGGTAACAGAGAGGCTGTAAGGCTGAGTCACGCTGCAATCTCAAAGCGTGAGCTGCTGTAAGAACCAGGAGGTCCCAGCCAGCTCCAAAAGTCTTCATATCTGGAGGTTTGGAGGTCGACAGATGATACAGCCATATGCCTGGAACTACCCAAGCAGAACACCCATCTTCATGAAGCAACTGGGAGACCAGGCAGGTCCAGCTGACACACAGATAGTCTAAGGCCAGAGACTGGTGGGATCCTCAGCCCCACATGTGTGCATGCATATGTATATTGCAGAGCTCTGAGTACCAGCAACCAAAGCAGAGCTGCAAGCTTTATGGGTGTGCACACTCAGGCCAGCAGCAGGGCCTGACCAGAGGGTCAGGGCCAGCTCCTGCACAGATTGAGCATCTAAGGCCAGTTACTGGAAGCACCTACACTGAGTGCATTTACACGGTTTTTACTAAGAGGCTTTCACACTCATCAGCCAGAAAAGGGAATAGGATCAGGCCACCTGTGCTGTTTGTGCTTCCACAAGCGCTCTTTTTCCGTGTTGATGCTTGTGGCCAGCCATGTGCATACACACGTAGTGTGGGCTTGTGCCCCTACTAGGAAATAAGTGCTGAGCTCTGCCACTGACTGCCCAAAGGGATGGGAGGTGCAGCAGCCGCCCCTCCATCAGACAGCCGTGCTGGACAAGTTCTAACACCAACCGCTGCCAAAAATACTGAAACAAAGAAAAAGACAGCTTTAAGAAACATTGGATCCATGTCAATTCAAGGTATTTAAAGGTATCTCTTGTTTAGACAGAAAGCCAATTAAGACTTCTAGAGGATAATTCAGCTTCAACAAAAAATGGATAATAAAAACTTCAGTCTTACAGACACAGCGAAAGTGTCTATATTATGACTGAGGAGGAGGATTTGGGACAATTCTAAATTTATGTGAAAATCTATAGCAATGCATTACTCACACCAAGACCGAGGCCCTGTGCTTAAGCAAGCTAAGTTCCAACCATAAGGAGTCTCCTAGCAATAAGTGATTAAAAAAAAATTCTTTTGTTAAGTACACTAGTGAGCTTACTGTTAAGGGAGATGATGGCTTTCATCCATGCTTTCCTGTCCAGACGCTGTCTTTTATACTACTGTAACTTCACAGAGCTTAGCAGCACGTACACTCAGGGTTGCAATCACCTAACATGGGTCATGACTGCTGTATTGCTGTCAGCACTGCACTAACAAGCTAAATCTAATCAACAGCAAGCATCGACTAACCCAGAGAGACTGCTGCAGCAAAACAGGAAGGCCATGTTTTTATTTCCTTCCTGCTCATACATACAGGAGCAAAAAGTTGGGAAACAACGAGTTTCCCAGTTCAACACTGAAACACACTGAGAAGACCTGATTCTTCTGAATAACTTTTCCTGAACTGATTCTTTGTTTTGAGGTATTTTAACTGAAAAGCAGTTTTCTCATAGCTTTATTAAACAGGAGACAGTAGATCCTAAACTTAATGTTAAACATGCAACCCAGGACAACCCTGGCAACATCCCATTGATTTATTAACATGTCTGCGTAACATAACATTTGTTAGCCAGCTTCACCATATGACAAACTCAGCTGAACTTTTATTTCTGAAATGAAGTTTCAGCTTCAAATTACTCCATGCTTCACCTTTTAAAAGTTTCCCTTACATTTTGTAGACCAAATAATTCCTTAAGGCACATGAGTAGCTGAGAAGCATTCTGGTAAAACCACTGGCTAAGTTCTCACATAGACCAAAGTTATCAGCCCACATACTGCCACCATCCTACTCTGCTGCCAAAGCTTGTGGGTACACCTCTTATACTTCTCCATGCACTAAAATCCACTCAACTTTCCCTCTGCCAGTCTAGTCATACAGCAAGAAATAGATACAGTCCAGTATCAGTTACACCTCACAGAACAGTGACAGCTACATACACAGATATAACACTGCCACCTGCATGAAAATGCTAAACTAGAGTACAATGGAAAAATGTTTAATTCTTTTTTTTTTCCAATAGGGTCAAGTTCATTGACCTAGCAGAATTCATGGAGCTAATTACTGATGCTTTCCTGCTGTTTTTCACAAACTTGCCTTCAGAACAGCACTCCTTTTGGACCTGAATGGAAAGATGAAGATTATCTGCTTAACTGAAGTGGCAATATTGAGAAAATTAACCAAAGATTCACTTTTCATAAGCACAGTTATAGTCTACTAATCAGATGATCCAAAAGCACATCCAGGAGAGCTGACTTGAAAGGACATTCCACAGACAGCAAATAATAATGACATATGCTTCGAATGTGCACTTATCCACTGTTGTTGGTTTGTTGTTTTTTTTTTTTTTTCCTCCCACTTTTTCCACAGCCCTCATCCTCACCCATAAATCGTAACAGCAAATTTAAAAAGGACGACTTCATATACTGGCTTTTGCCCAACTTTGTCTCTTCTGAATGTGGTCACTTTAATATTCCCTTTCTTCAGGTTCAGATGTGTTGCTCACTTAGCTGTTACATATGACAGTACGTACAATGGAATGGAGAATCAGGAGGACAATTTACCATCAATGTTGATCATTCTTCACACCTAAATCTTTTATCTAAAACTCTCAAAACACTTTAGAATCACAGAATGGTTTGGGTTCGAAGGGACCTTTAAGATCATCTGGTTCCAACCCATCTGCTATAGACAGGGATACCTCCCATTAGACCAGGTTACTCAAAGCCCCATGCAGCCTGGCCTTGAGAGCTTTCAAGGAGGGGGCATCCACAACCTCACTGGGTTTGTTTGTTTTGGTTTTTTTTTTTTCATAAAAGACACTGCTTTTAGTCTGTAGTCATCCTGTTCCTCGGGCTAATGTAGCCTTTGAAACAAACACCTCATTAACGTAGTGATTACCCAGCAATCTCCCTTGAATTATTATGTTTACTGAAGGACCTTGCCTCTGCTTGTCATTCAAGTTTCAACATAGTACTTCCTTTCTAATTAAAGATCCTCTACTGAGAAGCACCAGCGCTATTGTGAAATTCTGGCAGGTGTGGTACTCTGAAGCTTTATGCAAAGCCTGCACTTCTCATGTTCGCATGCTTCTGAAAACCACCAGAAATCTTTAACTTCTACCTTCCACCACAAAATATGACCAAACTCCTCCTGCTTTTATGTCCTATACTGAATCAGATTATTTGGGAAAAGAAAACTCTACTCAGCTTAGAGAAGGAGAAAGCACTGCTGAGTCCATGAATGCCGTCAGATGACAGATATATCTCCTTCACTAAATTGCATTTTACAGCTTACAGTAAAAACAGCTGAAGCACCTCACTGCTGAGAGTTCCCACAAATGCATAAGAAACATTAAACTTCAGGAAGGATTAAAAGGTTCTCTGAACATAATTTGTTCCATAAGGCTATTAGAACGCTTAGTATAGGGGCATGATTGCAAGACAGCAGTAACGGGCATCAAGCAGCCTTGTGGCTATCAAGCTCCACCTCCACTACAGAAACAGCTGAAGTATGAAATCTGACCACCACTAACCTGAAGATATGTCCATCGATTACAAAAGAGAACATGACATGATTCAATATGTGGGAATAACCGAAACAAGCATCTAAAGGAAGATCCAGTGGGGCATTCCTTTACTGCCACAGGATGGAATTTTTCCTTGAAGCGTCACTTAGTCCACTAAAGGCCTGTAATAAGATAGTTTAAGTGCTAAGGCACTGACCCACCCCGAGTTCTGCAGACACAACACACAAACTTCTAACAGTTCACAATGGGAAGATGCTCACCAGGAGCCTTTACTTTGACATCAGTTTATAGGCAAAGAATTCCCACAGATGTCACCCGATTTTACAGAAAGGTATGTCTCCATAAAAGCATATGCCTGTGAATTACCTATGGCACCTAAACCTTTGAAGGTAACTACTCAGGCTGTGAGGCTTTTCTGCATTGCAACACAGAGCAGATTTCTATCTCATTCCACCCTAATGCAGCAAGTAAGAAGTTCCACCTCACTGGGGTTTTCCTCCATCAGTATCTTTGAATTAGTACAAATACTAACAAGGAAATAAGTATTGCTTTCAAAAGATTTGGTTCTTCTGCTCAGCAGGACCACGATGCACCTGAAAGTAACATCGAAGTTTACTAATCCAAGTTACATCAAATGCTTCTTCTCTCTTATTTCTATTTAGAACTGTTTTATTACAGTCATTAAATGTTCCATAGAACCACTACAGCTAACTTTTCTTTGCAGTTACCACAATCTTAGCACTAGCACAGTCCCCAGGCAGCCAGGTGCGTGGGCAGCCTCGGCACACCGAACCGCACTGCCTTGAGCCGCCTGGGACTTAGGGAAAGCTGGCCCAGAAAATCCCGGTCCTGATTTCTCCTACAGTTTCAGCCTAGCAGAGACTTTACGAGGGCCTTACTAAATTCACTTTTATTACAGAGAATCGTGCTCAGTACTCGCGCTGTGCACCGGGGCTGCTCGCACTCCGCAGGGTTCCGCAGGAACCTCCGCGCGGCCAGGCGGGGTGGCAGAGCACGGAAAGGGAAAACAGGAGTTTTCGTACACTTTCACGATCCCGTTCACGCTAACACCGAGCACAGAGGTGAGAGAGAAGAGCTGGTGCTGAAGCTTGAAGCCGGCCACAACTAATTCACAGAGTCACTCGCCACCGCCCCAGAGCCCAATAACCCCTCGCAGCAGCCGAGCTCGGATCGCGGAACGGCCCGCCCCTCCTCACAACCCTCGGCAGGCCGCTCCCGGCCCGGGCTTCCTCCAGTCGGGGCAGCCCGCGGCCGGCGAGCAGCGCGCCCCGCGCCCGCTTGAAAGGAACGCGGCCCCGCCCCGTACCTGCCGGCCCCCTCCTCGCCTCGACCCGCGTTCCCCGCCTGCCGCCCGCCGCCGGCTGCGGCCGAGTCTCGGGCCTGCCGCTGCCGGGCGCCGCCGGCCTCCTGCTCCAGGGAGAGCGCGAGCTGGCTGACGCCGTAGAGCAGCGAGCAGACGCCGCAGCCCAGGAACAGCAGCGCCACTCGTGCGAACCGCCGCATCCTCCGACGCCTCGACCCCGGCAGCGGCGCCGGGCGGCAGCCGGGGCCCAACCGGCAGCGCGAGCCACGATCGACGCAGCGGCGGAGCGAGCCCGGCGTGCGGGGGGCGGAGTTTGAGGGGCGGGGAGAGCCACGAGGCGGGAGGAGGAAGTGCTGCGCTCCTGGCGTGCCTCCTGGCCGGCGGCTACGCTACTTCGGCTGCGGCTTGGAGGGGCGGCTGGCTCCGTTTGAAAGAAGAAAGTCGGATGGCAACTGTTGTGCCAAAACTGTCCTGCCTGTCTTCAGCCCCAAAAAGCAAGGTGTGAGGAAAAATGGGGGCCCTGGTGAAATAGTGGATACTCTGCTGTGTTTTGAGTACAGATGTCAGGAGGGTTACTAGGAAATGCGAGGGGGGAAATGGGGGCTGAGAAAAAGAAGTAGAACCTAAGATAAATAAAGATCCAGGGAGGGGGAATCAATGATGGGTGCTCATGAGGACATGGAGCGGGTGAGGCTGAAGGCACTGCTGGGTCCATCTGCCCCAGCCCTTGCTCAGCAGGGACACCCAGAGCATGGTGCCCACATCCAGGTGGCTCCTGAAGGGCACCCCACAGCCTCTGGGCAGCCTGTACCAGTGCTCCATCACTGCACAGCACAGCAGTGCTGCCTGGTGTTCAGAAGGAACCCCTGTGCCTGCTGCCTCCTGTCCTGCACTGAGTGCTGCTGACAAGAGCCTGGTTTCATCTTTGCACACTTCCTTCAGGTTTTATGGGCATTGTTGAGACTCCCCTGAGCTCCTCTAGGCTAAGCAACAAGCTCTCTCAGCCTTTCCTCACAGGAGAGGTACTCCAGGCCCTTCCTCATCCTCAAGGCCCTTCACTGGGTTCTCTCCAGTATGTCTAGGTCTCCTTTGTATTGGTGTGAGGGGCTAGAACTGGATCTAGCTCCCCAGATGTGGCCTCACCAGTGCGGAGCAGAGGGGAAGGATCAGTCCCTCAGCCTGCTGGCGATAGCGTGCCAGGATGCCATTGGCCTTCTGTGCAGCAAGGGCACAATGGCAAAATCCAGGGCCAAAATGGCAGAATGGTGGTGGGGACCTCAAGAAGGATGGACTCATTGGGAAAGTCACTGACAAAATGAGCAAGAACTTGTTAAAAAGGACTCTCTAAAAAGAATTTGCTTAACAAACTAAGGGAAATGTATGCTACTGATGTTCATGTGCTTTCATGCACAACAGGAAGAAATTGAGTTCTGAATGTGCCACTTGAAGTTGCAGCTGGGCTTTCCCATTTTCTGTTCCTCCAGGCTTACTGTGGTGGGTGATGAACTCGGCCATTCTACCAGTGCTCTCTGTGTGTGCTTCTGATCTAAACCTGACTCACTGCTCTCATTGCATATCTGCATGCTGACTGGTGTCATGAATTCAACCACTGTCCCATTTCACAACCCTCTGCACATACGAACAAGTCCCTGTGGCAGGTCATAAATAACATTTTTCATGGATAAACAAAGCCCTGACTTCTTGCCCTTAATGCTGAGGAAAGCTTTGCTGTTTAAAACAAAAGATCAAAGTATGCATAAGAAAGAAAAAAAAAAAGGAGGATGATGCTATATTTCACAGATAGTTGAAGAAAATCTGAAATCTCAGATACATGGTGGGCTGTGGGCAATTTTAAAGGCAAATTCATAGCAGTGTGTGAGTCAGAGTGGGAGATACAAAGGAGCCTTTGCTGGCATGAGCACAAAAGAGAAGACGGGTCAGTCTCTGCTGCAGTGTGACACTCGCCTTCTGAATTGAGGAGTGTTCCAGTCAGGAAAAATGAGGTCTATGGGGTGTTACAAAGGGACTGAGAATGAACACAGCAGCTGGCCAGCAGCACTGCTTTCATGTGTCGGATGAAGAGAGTATATTTTAGACAAGAAAAGAGAAAATAAGGAGTGCTGAGGAGAGAGATGAGACAGTGCTTTTGGATTATCAATCATACCATTTCACAAATAAGAATTTATAGGACTCTCTTCATTTCATGCTGTCCAGGAACACCTGAATAATGAATGAGAATGTGTCTCTGTGGTTGAAAAATATAGCTGAGGAAAAGTCAGGGAGAAAGTTGGCATCTTTTGTTAAGGTATCTGATGCAAGTGGGTAGAAAAAAAGCAAGAAGACAGATAAACTTCCACAAAAGTGCTTTTCACACTGATAAATCTTTCCACTTAATCTAACTATCAGTTGGTCTGGTAAAAGGCAAAATGCTTCTTGCTACAAACTCAGTCTTGTGAATACCAAAGATAAGCCAAAGAGACTGACATGTCATACCTAGGCTCTATCACTAAGAAAAAACAGTGCTGATAGTTATGCAGTTAGCTAATGTAGCCTCCAAAATTCTTTAAGCATAAATATTTATATACCTTTATTACTCATCGTAATTAATGAACAATATAAAACACTTTGCTGCAACATTTACTAGTCTTTAATAGTTAAAACAAGAAAAAACACAATTAAATACAAGGTTCTCTTCATTTATTACCAATTCTAAATCTTTAAATACTTTTCTTGAATGGAATTGAAATACTTAAGCACGGTAACTTTTTTTCTTCAGGTTTCTTTTTATTATGTCCAGAAAATAACTGAAATCCAGAAAACAGAGAGCTTAGCAAACTACAGATGTTAAGTATTTAGAATAATTCATTTTTAAAAAGAATAAATACCTGCTGTTTCTCTTTAGTGTGTTCAGAGGCCGAAATGGCAGTCAGTCAGTAGCAGCCATAAAATTAAACCAAAATCCTAGCTATGCATCAGATCAAGAGATAAATTAGATCAACTAAAATACAGATATAATTCAGAATTATGGAAGGGGATTATCTGATGCAACTGAGAGAACAAAGAGAGACATCAATTTCCACACAAACTTTCTGCTAATTAGAAAGCCCAGTCCTAATCAGATGCACTTGTAGCATTTCTTCTGGTTTTGTACTTTCAGGAAGTTAAAACATCAGTTAAGTTGGCAAAGTAATAAGATTTTGTGCTGACAGATTCATGTCAATGCTGCCAAGCGTGCAGACCAGTTGAGGGTTTTTCAAAGGCAAAGACATTTTCTTTGATGTTCACATGCCCTTTTGTACAACCTGCAGTGTCAACACTTTGCTATGATGGATTGTAAGGCTGGTGAGCAAGGAGGAACTGCTTTCTGCCACGTGTTGTGCATATGGCATCAGCAGACTTCTTGGTTCCTTGTCTGTTGCTGCCAGACATCGTTTTTCTTTCTTTTAAATTCATTTTTAAGGCAAGGATTTAGTTTGGTACAGCTGCCTTCCACTCTTACTGTTTCTGCTGTTCAAATTTCCCTACAGCAGCCCTAATTAAAAAAAAAAAAAAAAAGTTAATAAAATTTCTCAAAATTAATTTTCATTGATTGCTAGAATATCACTGTGTTCATCCATTCTGTCTCTTTTTAGTTCTCCTTATTTTGTATTGCAGTCCATTTAACCAACTTATCCGATAAGAAGAAACTTACAATATTTTTGATATCAGGATTATACATACCTGAGGACAGCAGTACACAAAATTAAGTAAACTGCACTGCAAGCAAATTGTGAAGTGCTGTGATACTTTATAAAATTTCCTGGTTTCTTCCAATTTCAATAAAGAATGATTACTTTATCAATCTTACAATTTATGTGAAGTCTTCTGGGAAGAGTTGCAAGTTATAAAGTACCTGTATTATTTGTCCTAAAAAAATCTCAATTTCCTTGTTTGAAATAAACAAGCATGCATCTGTATATGTAACCTAGTACAATTGTTAGTGCTCTCCTACATTGCCAAAGCAGAAAGAATACTTTCTAAAAGTGTAGACAGAATTTTCTTTTTATGTATTTTTCAGTGTTGAAGATTTTCTTTTCCCTGTAATGTTTTCCAAATTGGGAACTCCAAGAGATCCGTCCAAAGAGGATTCTCACTGTTGGGCTTTTGTCAAATCTAAAATTCTCCAAGAAGCATCTGGCACAGCTGTTTGTGTTTAAAATTCTCCTGGGAGAAGTCCTACCTACTTAAGTACCATGTATGAAAATACAGTAATAAGGCAGGTTGGCCTGGCTTTATGGCTGTGTTTGTTTGTTTGTCTGTATAAAAATATTCCAGTTTAAAAGTCCTTAACTTGTTTTGCTCTGGTTTGATGACACATCAAGTGCTCTGAGTCTCTTCCCTCCATCAGTGTCTTCTAAAATCCACCATCTTTTTTTTTTTCTTGCAATGGAATAAATATTTACTAACTAATCACACGCAGTGACAACTTTGTATTATGGCTTTATGGCTCAATTTTGAAGATGAAGTACATCAACTAATGTGAAATTAATCCTGAAAAGTATTTTCCACATTTTCCACATGACAGTAGCAGTGCAGACTCTACACAGTGAATTTAATGCTACTTATAATAAGCATGCTCATCCTACTTTTTTTTTTGAAGGCTCCTTCATAGAAGGAACATATGAACTCGTGAGATCCTTGGACTACTGACAGGAAACCACTGCTTTTTTATTTAGCTTATTTTTCATATTTGACATAAATATATTTTGTGCTTTTTAGTGACATACTAATTCCCAAGTACAAAAAGCCTGCATGGCCGTGACCAGGAGAATAAAACTGCATCTAGCAAACAGCTAACATGAAAAAAAAGTTAGATCGCAACCACCAGCTGCTCTAGGAAGAGAAAAGAAGCTTAGGATTGTTGCCAGGGGCTCTAAAAGTCAGCCAGCACTGCAAGCCAGATAAGTGTGAAGCAGTGAGGCAGGTAGGGTGGCCATTTGCCCCTGTTCAAAAATCAAGTCAATTTTTGGCCAAGCCAACTTGTTTGTTTTGTTTTGTTTTGTTTTGCTCTGTATCGTGTTCCAAGTAGAGTTTAACACTGAAACTAATGGAAACTAATGGAGGGACATGGCAATAAATTCATAATGGTCCTCTCTCTTCACATTCTGTTCACCAGGGGTTGCTTTATTGCTAAAATTAGTAATTCAAAGCCAGATTAGAT